GTTTATTTTCTAAACATAACGTCCCAGTGGCTTTTAAACCCCAAAATACATTACGGCAAAGACTGGTTCATCCCAAAGATCCAGTCCCCCGGCACAAACAGAGCAATGTTGTGTATGCTGTTCAGTGTCAGGAGGGCTGTGATCAGTCGTACATCGGGGAAACTAAACAGCCACTGGCCAAAAGGATGGCCCAGCACAGAAGATCAACATCATCAGGCCAGGATTCTGCAGTCTACACTCATCTCCAGGCCAGCGGTCACTCTTTCAAGGATGAAGATGTTCACATCCTGGACAGAGAGGAACGATGGTTTGAGAGAGGAGTAAAGGAGGCCATCTTTGTGAAAAGAAATCGTCCATCATTAAACAGGGGTGGAGGCCTCCGGGTTCAACTGTCCCCCTCTTACAATGCTGTGATTGCTAGTATCCCTCAGCCCTCTGTGAGTAGTAAACAGCCATCAGTGTGCAAATGATCCATTGTTAGGCTGATGGTCCTTGAGCATGTGATCAGCTGGTTTTGGTTGTCAGCAGCGAACTGGTTGATCCACTCTAAGAAGGTGCTATTTAAGAGACTGAGCTGAAAACGGCACCTCAGACTGAGGAAGTCTCTTGGATGAGAGACGAAACGTTTCTAGAATTTTTTTTGCTTTGTTTTGCTTTTGTTTTTTTGAATGTCCAGAGGACCAGATTGAACTTTTTTGCAATAAATTGTTTGGTTATTTATTTTTGCACAATTAACACTTTGTCATCTATTATGGTTTTAACTAGATGCAGTTTCATTTAAATTAACATTTTAATCAGTGAAATACAATTTTACAATTATTGTCAGGCTTCAAGCATAATCAGCTTGGTTATCCAGGTACTCGGTTGCCATAAAAAACGACAAATGGAACAATTATATCTTCTATAGAAATGGAGAATTCATCCTAGATCTAAGGTAAGCTGTAACTGAGCTGAACTGCTAGCATGCAGAGATCAGAAATAGCTTTATAATAGGTGTTACTATGTTTTTTTTGTTTTTTTTTAATGTGTGTTTAATGTGTGTTATTATAAAACACTGTTGACATGGCTATATTGATCATTGTATTACATAGACACTTTTTTCTAACAAATATGTCTTTGCAGTCTCGTTTCCCTCTAAAATTGAATGATAAATGTATCTGCCATGTCTAAAATGCTTTGATAAAATGCATAGTCGGTGAACTAATCAGTAATCGGTTATGTAATCGTTCGTTACTGCTCAATACTTACTGAAAGTTGCCAGGCAAAGTAAGAAAAGTAAATTTTTGCGTTATGTCACACCAGTATCTGCTCAAACTGACTGACAGCGATGAGCTGTTTGGAACTATTGAGAGCTGCATGAACCACGTGATCGCGTATCGGCTCGTTCAAAGGGTGTCGCAACTCACTCTATGGCGCTGGCTGCAGCTACGGCGGCCATTACCAAACAAACGTCTGCACTTGGCGCTTTGACTAAATAGCCCTCAGTAACAGCTGACTATGTAATAAATGATTAATGTATGTAGTATAATAACGTTATTAGACGTTATTTATTAATGTAATGGCAGAAAGCTGCATGTTCTACAGATGTAGCAACAGAAGAGAAAAGGGAATTACCTCAGTGTGAATGATCCAACCAGAACTGAAGCTGATAATGCATTCATTTAAAAGCAGCCTCTAAAGCTGATGTAACGGCTGTTAATTATTGAATTAGCTCCTAGATCGTAGCTTCTGAGTTAGATATTCAGTTCAGGCTGAATTGTGTTGCAGTTTAGTACAAATTAATAAACAGTCCAAGCTGCTGGTAGCTACCTTATCTGCTCTCTTGTACTTTATGTAAAATGTACTTTTTCAAGTTTAGGTATTGATTATACACTGATCACTGCAGTTAGTTTCAGCTAGCAAAGCCTACAGAAACACAATTTACATGTTAAAAACTTAGTTTCAGACTCGTCAACTACCTGAAGTTGTAGTTATTCAAGCAGCTAAAAAGTATTGAAATCTTTAGAAGTCAGTTATTAATGACTGACTTCAGGTGAATAGGTTAGGTTTATTTATCATATGCAGATCAACACAAGGCCAACAATGCAATGAAATGCTGAAGAAGAGAAGATAACCATCTCGACTCACCAAAATTCTTCAGGCAGCTAAAAAGTCTTAATCCTTGGAAGTCTAATTATTGACTGACTTCAAGTCGTGTTTAGATTAAACCAGCCACTAAGGAGCACCAGCCTGTGGTCTCTTGTGCCAGTCCAAATTCCAGGTTAATGGTGAGGTTTATGTCAGGAAGGGCATCTCATGTAAAACACTTGTGCCAAAACTAACATGCGAGTTCATCAGAAGACGGAGGTCGTGTTTAAGTTAGACCCATTACAGGTCCTTCTCATAAAATTAGCATATTGTGATAAAGGTAATTATTTTCCATAATGTAATGATAAAAATGAAACTTTCATATATTTCAGATTCATTGCACACCAACTGAAATATTTCAGGTCTTTAATTGTTTTAATACTGATGATTATGGCATACAGCTCATGAAAACCCAAAATGCCTGTCCCAAAAAATTAGCATATTTCATCCCACCAATGAAAGACAAGTGTTTTTAATACAAAAAACGCCAACCTTCAAATAATCATGTTCAGTTATGCACTCAATACTTGGTCGGGAATCCTTTTGCATGAATGACTGCTTCAATGCGGCGTGGCATGGAGGCAATCAGCCTGTGGCACTGCTGAGGTGTTATGGAGGCCCAGGATGCTTCAATAGCGGCCTTAAGCTCATCCAGAGTGTTGGGTCTTGCGTCTCTCAACTTTCTCTTCACAATATCCCACAGGTTCTCTATGGGGTTCAGGTCAGGAGAGTTGGCAGGCCAATTGAGCACAGTAATACCATGGTCAGTAAACCATTTACCAGTGGTTTTGGCACTGTGAGCAGGTGCCAGGTCGTGCTGAAAAATGAAATCTTCATCTCCATAAAGCTTTTCAGCAGATGGAAGCATGAAGTGCTCCAAAATCTCCTGATAGCTAGCTGCATTGACCCTGCCCTTGATAAAACACAGTGGACCAACACCAGCAGCTGACATGGCACCCCAGTGACTGTGGAAACTTGACACTGGACCTCAAGCAATGTGAATTCTGTGTCTCCTCTCTTCCTCCAGACTCTGGGACCTTGATTTCCAAAGGAAATGCAAAATTTACTGTAATCAGAGAACATAACTTTGGACCACTCAGCAGCAGTCCCAGGCGAGATGCTTCTGACGCAGTCTCTTGTTCAAGAGTGGCTTGACCTGGGGAATGCGGCACCTGTAGCCCATTTCCTGCACACGCCTGTGCACGGTGGCTCTGGATGTTTCTACTCCAGACTCAGTCCACTGCTTCCGCAGGTCCCCCAAGGTCTGGAATCGGCCCTTCTCCACAATCCTCCTCAGGGTCCGGTCACCTCTTCTCGTTGTGCAGCGTTTTCTGCCACACTTTTCCCTTCCCACAGACTTCCCACTGAGGTGCCTTGATACAGCACTCTGGGAACAGCCTATTCGTTCAGCAATTTCTTTCTGTGTCTTACCCTCTTGCTTGAGGGTGTCAATGATGGCCTTCTGGACAGCAGTCAGGTCGGCAGTCTTACCCATGATTGCGGTTTTGAGTAATGAACAAGGCTGGGAGTTTTTAAAAGCCTCAGGAATCTTTTGCAGGTGTTTAGAGTTACGTCGTTGATTCAGATGGTTAGGTTAATAGCTTGTTTAGAGAACCTTT